ATTGAATAAAAAAAAAGATTATTTATAGCGTGCTCTAGATGTAAACCGTCAGCGAAGCTGACGGGTTACACCTAGTAATAATTATATTTATCATAAAATGAGTCACATTATAATAATTGTATTTATCATAAAATGAGTCACATTATATAATAAATAGAGATATACTGTATTAGTATTGTGGTGATAATCACCACTGGTGAGACCCATATTAAATATTTGTATTTATTATTTGCTACTACTTATCACAACAATAATTATATTTGACAAAGTCACCTGACAATCAAGATTTCTAGTTTTACAAATAAATTATTTTTTATTTTTTAAAAATATCCTTTTAGTTACTACTGCTAATACTCTAATTATAAAAATGAACAAAGATAATAAACAAAAAGTTTTATGTGCCTGTGAAAAATGTTTGATTAAATCAAGTGGTACTGGAATACATGTTCATATTTCAACAAAGTATAGACATCAAAATAGAGAAAATTTATGTAAAGAAAATGAAAGTAGTTCAAGTTCTGAATCTGCATTAAGTTCAATAAATGATTATCCAATGCCTTTAGATGAAATAAGTGATAATATTGGTAAGTACTGAATTGTACTTTTAAATAATTAATCTTATCTGATCAATAATACATGAGCTACTTTAGATTCTGATGATGATGAAAGTATGAGAGATAATGATGATGAAAATGTTGAAAATGAAGAAGAATTTGATAATTGTGATGATCATGGACTTGATGATGATTCGGATGAACTTGTCAATGATGATTCAAATGAATTTGCCAGTGATGATTCAGATGAATTTGATGATGATATGGATGACAAAAATGAAAATAAACCATATAGTCATGATCAAGGTAATATAAAAGTGGTTTTTTTAATAAATTAATATATTTAATATATTTATTAAAAACTAAATTAGGAGAATTGTCTGAAGAGGTAATAAATGGAATGAAATTGCTTTATTTAAAGACAATACATAATTTTTCAAATCAAGCATTTAGTGACATTGCATCAAGTTTTGTAAAACAAGAAATTAGTTATTTAAAATTAAGAATCATCTAGATAAATTGGTTCCTATTAAACCAAGGTTTTATGATATGTGTGTAAATAGTTGCTGTTTGTTTTATGGAAAATTTTCTCAACATCAGGAATGTCCTTATTGTAATGAGTCTCACCTTTCAATTCAAACTCCTAGAAAATCAATGCCATATCTATCATTGATTGAGAGATTCAAGATTCAATTTGCTTCTCCAGAAAGAGTCCAAGAATTAATGTATATATAGATGGGAGTATGTATCAAATGAACATAAAGTTGATGACATCTTTTGTGACATATTTGATGGAAATATATATAAAGAACTGTGTGAAATGGATTTTTTTTTAGACAAAAGGGAATTAGCATTGACAATATCATGTGATGGTTATCAAATATTTCAACAGAAAACTGATGATAACTGGATATTTTTAGTCATTAATAATAATCTTGCACCTGAAAAAAGAGTGAAAAAAGAAATTTAATAATTAGCTTTATGATACCAGGTCCTCATCAGCCAAAATATTTTAACTGCCATTAGTTGAAGAATTAAAAATTTTGAAAGGTAATCTAATTTTTCAATATTCAAAAATTTTTCTGCAATCTTAATCATCTAGAATTTGTTAAGATCTTCTTCACAGACCAAATTTACAATTATAAGTTCATATTTATTTATAGATGGAATAGAATGTTATGATGCATTGAATGATGAATTTTTTGAATTAAAAGCTCATGTTTTAGCTTGGACTGGGGATATACCAGCTATAACCAAAATAATGTGTTTTACTGGTCATAATTCTTACCAGGGATGCAGATTTTGTAAAATTAATGGAAAATTATTAGGAAGTAACTCACATGTTTATTATCCTTTGCCAGATGATATAGGGATTTCTGACCTTCCTGCTTGTAAGCACAATGAGATATTAAATAACATTAGAGAAATTGATAATTGTAGGTCAAAGAGTCATAAAGATAAGTTGATACAAAAATATGGTAAGGCCTTTTGTTTTGTAAATTTATTTTTAAAAAAATCTATTTTCTAATTATTTATTATTTCACTAACAGGAGTAAAGGAAAGAAGTTTTTATTTGAATTAAATTCTATTAAGTTTCCAAGATCCTTTCCTATAGATGCAATGCATCTTTTTTTTGAAAACATAGGCCCTAATATGTATAGGTTTTGGTCAGATAAATTTTATAAAAAAAATGATCAAAAGAAAGTGTATTCAATCAGTAAGAATGACTGGCAAGAGATTGGCAGAATTTTGGAACAAAATAAATATAACATACCAACTAGTATGGGCAGAGTACCAAGGAATATTTACAAGCATTCAGCAGGTTACAAGGCAGAAGAATGGTCTAATTGGATTATGTTTTTTTCACTTCCATTATTAAAAGGAAAAATTGAAGAAAGGTATAAAGTATAACTTTAAGTATTTTGATTTTGCATAATAGCTTTATATATTTATTTACTTGTTTGTTTTACCATAAATTCTGCTTGTTTTTTAAAAATTATAAAGATTTTTAAAAGGCTGGTCCCATTTAGTAAATGCAATAAACCTTTGTGTTCAACCAACAATTGAATTTGATGATTTTGAAAAAATAAAAAATGATTTGGAGGAATTTTATATTCATTATATCAAGTATGTAATATTATGATTTATTGGTCGATGACATATATTTATTAATAATTGATTAAAATTTTATTTTAGTGATTACAAGGAAGATGATAACCAAGAAGGATTAAGGATTCACCTATTAACATTTCATTATATATTACATGTGGTTCAAAGTATTGAAGATTTTGGTCCATGTTGTTATTATTGGCAATTTCCAATTGAAAGGCTTTGTGGCATGTTACTTTTCCATTAGTTAAGTCAAAGAAAGATCCATATAAAAGTTTGAAAAATTTAATATGATGAGATTTTTCCAAAATTTAATATTATATTTGAAGGTTTAAAGAAAAGCAAAAATTGGTATTTCCAGCATGGTGGAAGTTTGATTTTATTGGATATAAAATGTGACAAAATAAAATTTAGGTTTTTACCAAAATTAGAATATTTTAGGGAAAATCAAGATTTATATGGAATGTGTAACGTTGATCGCAGCGAACAAAAAATTTATATATAAATATATATATACATACGAGAGTTTTATTCCTATATTACCACTAACACTACCACTGTCATCTCATTATTG